TCAGGCTCGGAAAGCTGAGAAGACTTGGTTTGAACTCATCAGAAAGGTGACCCTATGGGTCATATGGAAGGAGAGATGCAGTCGAACAATTGAAGGACTCTCCAACCCACGGGAAAAAGTGTGGATAGAAACTAAGACAATGATTCAARCYGAGATCCTGTGCAGATGGMGGAAGATCAARCGAGCCTGGTCCGAGGACGAAGAGCAGCGTAAYAAGGAAAGGCAGAGATTCTATAGGACCTGGCTGGTGGAGGGCAAGATTGGAGAGCTGCGACAGGACCTGGTATGCTGGAAAGAATGGCATAATTCAAGTCCTGGAAGGGGTGCCCAACGTCAGACTTCGCCAGAAGGCTAAAGTTCCCTTAGGCTACAAGAGATCCTACATGTCCCAGGGGATACAGACGAAGAGGAAAAAGAGCTCAAGCCTGGCAACACCGGAACGTCTTCGGGGGTCACCAAGGAGGATCCCATTTCAGAGATCCGAAAGCCTACTAACATTTGCCAAGACCTAATTGGGTTGATTTTGATCCAATTGATAAAGATCCAAGGGGCACAGACAAAGAAGGGAAGTGTGAGAAGGGTGGAAAAGTCGGAGAAGGAATAGAAAAGGCACATGAATGGGGGTTGCTGAGGAGGTTCGGTGACAGTGATCGGGAAATAAACGGAATTCGGCCAGCGCCCAAGGTCGACATTTCAGAAGATAGGAGCACTGGTGGAGGGTTTAGGGTTTAAGGAGGTCTGATCTTTCACACCAAGGAACAGGGAGGAGGGCGATGAATGGAACAGGTCAGCATGGACAAAGGATGAACTCTTCCTAGGGGCAAAGATGCTATCTGGCAGATCTGGACATCAGGTCTGAGAGGGAAGAAAGGGGCAGGGCAAGCTGACAGTCAATCCTCCACTACGGTGGAGTAATCAATGCTGTTCAGGGGTCCTTCGGCCTGACGGAAGGAAGTGTGTGTGAGTTCTCATTGATGTAACATGTATTTTGACTTGCCGGTGGAATAGGAACCGGACTGATGCTCCCCAGAATAGAAGGAGCTAGGATAAGGCCCTGTTTTGTTAAAAAAAATAAAAAAAAATTGGCCCGATTTAGGTCGATATTTTCAGCTCCTGAGGGTACGGCGTTCTGAAAACGCCCTACCCCCTGGATGCAAACTAAGTCCAGATACATCCAGGGGGGTACGGCATTTTCAGAACCCCGTACCCCCTGGACTCCGGCTAAGTCCAGATACATCCAAGGGGTCCGGCGTTTTAAGGACGCCGGCCCCTCAAGAGCTTGAAATTTCCACCTAAATCTCTCTAATTTATGAGGTTTCAATTTCGTTCAAAAAATAAAATATGTCCGTTTTGAGTCTTTTGATGAAATTGCTGTTTATTAATCACCAAAAGCTGGCTACTCTTTCCATGCTGTTCAAGAATGAGGAAACCTATATGTTTTTATAAGGAAAAAGGAAAGAAATGAAGAGTGTGTATTTCGTGTAGAAATAAGAAAGCACATCATGTGAGGCTTGACTCTCGCGGAGAACATAATGTGCCAACAACAGAACCAGAGTGACGAAACACAGCACAAAACGTTATCAAAAAAATCGATGCATCAGTTTTCGGCACTTCTTTGCAGCATTAATTGACTTCTGCTTCTGTTGTTTCAACTTGTTTGTGTATGATCACGTTCCTTTTTTTTTTTTTTTTTTTTTTTTGCGTATGAGCAGGTTCTCGATGTGATTGGTTACTGCCACCAGTACATCAAAATGTTGCAGGATAAGGGTCCTCAGGAGTGGTTCTGGAAAGAGATGAAGCAAATGGCAGAAGTGCATGCACGCTTCGAACAGGAGGCACCGTCAGTGAGCCATGTGCGGCAATCTGCTTGTACGTCTACAAATCTCTTGTCCCATTCTAATCTAAAATTTTATGGCCCCATTCTCATGGTTTTGGAGAAATTTGGACCTTTTGGTGTTTCTCGAGTTAATTTGAAAGTCGTTACTCCAGCAGCTGACACTCCCCACTAATAGATGGAGCCTCCCCCCAGGTTCTAGTGGTGCCTGCTCTTATCAGCACCACTAGCATAAGAGGGTGTGTTTTTGTATTTCAAAACCTGCCGTGTCCGCCGTTGTTTCAACAACAAAAAAATAATAATAATTAAAAAAAAAAAGTTTTAACAAACACAAAGTTTTGGCTCTCCACTGACGCAGTGATCTCTACTCTTCGCAATGCACTGCACTAGGGGAGGTGTGTGCGCGTCCCTGCATGCATCAGCAGGGACAACACTCTACGGCATGCACTGCATGATGAGAGATGGACCCCATACAGGACATGGCCAAGAATTATGGCATTATGTCTGAGAAACCACCCTCTTCACCCGAATAGAACGGCCGGGAAAAAAACAAAAGAAAAGAACGGTGGGGTTTTCTAACGACAGGAGAGATTGCATCGCATCCAGATACCAAGGTATTGAAAAGTCCTGTCAGCATGATCATCCCGTGTCTGTGGGTGTGTTCCGCATTCAGGCACTTGGCGGCCATTTCAGTCCGATCTTGAGCTTGCCACGTTGATCCGAGGGCGTGAATTTCAACTACTTAGAGCATCTGTTGACGTAATTGCTGTCATATACATCTGCTTCATGCTGGAATTCCTGGCAGATCCATGGAGGAAAGTGATAGTGCAAGTATGCCCTTAGTCCGGGATGCGCTCGGTCTATTCAGTAAATCCAAACCCAGTCCTCCCCTTCTGTTTTGCTGATCTTCCCTCAAACAGAATCCACATATATTATCGCTGTATCTAGATTCTAGACTGCAAGTCGCTGCAAATACAGCTACAATGACCGTGTGTTCTATTCAGGGAAGACGGTAGGCCTACTGGTCCAAGTCAACCTATGTGCCTGCCTGTCGATTAACCAAGCCTTAACCCGGTTGGGTAAACGCTAAACCCTAAACCTTACCTCTGCTCACCCAACCGGGTTGTGGAAGGCTCCTCTGCAGACCCTACCAGACATCCTGCAGAATGCTGAGAGAAGTGGAACATGCAGGTTGTCCTGAACTGAAATTCAGGACAGACCTTGTGGTATGTGTTCTGATTTGAGATCAGCAGCTTGCAGGTTCAATCCCTGGAATGGGCAATTTTGTTTCATTCAAGCGGTTGGAGTTGTACTTGGAGGGAATGAATGAAACTGAGCTTTCACACAGCATGCTTTGAGCTCCCGGGAGATTGTACCTGTGGTCGATCGGCATGCAATCCCCTCCCCTTGAGATTAGCTCAACGGGGCCCTTTGGTTGGAGTTGAGTATGGGTACACCGAGTGACGGTACTATGTGTCGTACTTACCATTCTGGGCGGGCGGTGCACGGGTCTTACCGTCAAGCCGCTGGTAATCTGCATCTTCACGGAGAAGCCGCTGGTACTCTGCATCTTCACGGAGAATTCAATGCCACTGAGGGCATCTGCAGGCTTCAATCTCACCCCAACTCATTCTGCTTTGTGGTACGTGTTCTGATTTGAAGTCAGGAGGTTGCAGGTTTGATCCCTGGAGGGCAATTTCGTTTCATTCAAGCGATTGGACTTGTACTTGGAGGCAATGAATGAAAATTCGACCTTGTATCATCATTTCGTTTTTTGACTTTTCTATAACTAAATCCTTGGGCCTTGGCATCATTGCAGGCAGAGGGGGAGGGGGGAGAGCCGGGGGGCTGAGAGCTCAAACTCTTGATCTGTCTACCAGAACATCTACCAAGGTACCATTTGGGCAGCACGAAAATATCTGCATCAAATATTCTACAGAATCGAACAGATGCCATCTCTGAGTTGACTTACTTCAGTAACAACACTTCGCTTTCTAGCACCGAAGGGCATCAGCTTAGGAGGTGATTTGAGGCGCAGATACATACGCTCACCATAGTTAACAATTGGAATTGGAGTTAAGGTGCTGTTGGAGAGCTGAGGGATGGTGCAAATCGGTTGATCAAACAACGAATGGGGATGTTGAAAACGTTGCAATGACCAGAAGAGGAATAGGCAGTGAAGTAGACAAGTGACATTTGTGCACCAAGAGTACACACAAGTAGAAGTTCTTTGAGTTCATTGACTGAGTCGATGTATTGTTTTTTTTGTTGGTTTTGTGTTATCGGTTTGTGTGCTATTGGTGTGGTGCCGCAGTGTTATTGTCGCTTTATCCGAAAGAGATCGCTCTGGTCGGGTGTTCCTTGTACATGAGCTGGAAACCTGAACTGATACAGGAGCTGCTTGGCTGTCTTAATCCTAGTAATTTGCTCATCACGGTATCTGACAAGACCTCCTTCGGTAAAAATGCACCAGGTAGGCATATCCCACCATGATTCAAGCAAGCTGTTCTTTTTTTTATTATAGTTTTTCAGACTTTTTTCTTGATCATTACGATGTTAAATGGTCCCAAACTCGAAAGTCGAAAGGCAACCTGCATCAAGGCCACACCATCATCGCACTGGTCTTATTGTCTATTCAGCTCTGGTGAGAAGTATGCTTACTCCACTGAGTCCTCTCCCTAGTTTACCACCAAAATTAAAGCCAAGTCACATATCTGTGTGGCCAAATGGCCGCTCTCCCATATGTGGGGTACCTCTATGGAGCAGGCTATTCCAAGCACTCTCTTTTTTTTGGTAAAGAAAACCTCTCTTTTATTGCTAGGACTGTAAACGGGGTCCAGCGTCCCTTACATCACATCACACTCAACACTTCCCTTCGTTATGGTCAAGGAATCGATCCTGAGACAGCAGCATTGATTACTTGAATTTACTTCCTTTTTCAGGAAGGATGTGCTGCTGCTTTACCCCTGCTTCCTTTAATCCTTTCCCGTCCACACTTTTTGGGTCCAAGCCTGTCCCCTTATCAACAATACTTCCCCTTAAACCATCAGTACACGCCACGCATCGGTCGAGGGCCCCTTTCAGAGGCCGAAATGCAGATAAATATTAGCAAGAGGATCCCTTAGAGACTACTCTCCTGCAAGACTGCCTACTGTAGAGAATGGCATACCCAGAACCTGCCAGAACAGATTCAAAGTATGAATAGCATAAGAGTCCATCCCCTCCCAGCATTGACTGCCCTAGGAACTAGGGGGTTAACTGAGCAAGGTCGAGAGGCAGACCAAGGGGGGAGTGCCACGGCTAGAGGCCCGAGGGGCACCGGGTCCCTTGGCATTGCCATCCTCCCCTCCCCCCTTTTGTCGTTAAGAGTAAAGCTGGGATGATGCTTCTGAATAGGCCCGGGCGATGCTCTGATGGTGCTCCGTTGATTCTCTGAAGACGCTCATACCAGTCTTTCCGCCAAGGCTAGGGCGTGGGGGCGGAATGGGTCTGCAAACTCTTGGGCCAGTCTCAATGGCTCCCTGGAGTCTATTACTGTCCACTCATGAAAATGCAGGCGATAATCTCTCACCACCTCCGCCTTCACGTAGGGCAGCCGACTGTACAGAAAATAGGGCCCAGTAGAGCAGATCGAGGCCTTGAGCCTCGCACAGCTCTGTTATGTATATTCTATTTATATATATATATATATATATATATATATATATATATATATATATATATATAT